GCTACAGTCCATGGGGTCACAAAGAGTCAGACAGGACTGAGTGACCAAGCCCAGCACTTGAGGAATTAGACCAATATCCCCAGGTGTTATTTGGCAAGTCAAACAAACCTTTGGCCGTCCAAAGTTTATAAATTCTACTTACTCATTTTGGAACCGCAGATGCAGAAGAGAGTTTGTACCTTGTGACTAATGAAAGTTCACATTTCATCTACATACCATAAATATCTGCTTTGTGGTTTGGTTTGAGCAGGTTAGGTTTGGGGAAGAGGGATGTCCGTGTAGGAAAGGGTCCATAAGCCTCTCAGGAATTTGGGCCTCAACCTCTGGTGAGATTTTACACAGGAAATCGAAAGTAAGGCCCATCCAGCTTCATTAATGACAGAGGTTTCAGAGAGGATGGCAGGAAATTAATAGCAATCAGAAATGGCTTTTTGATGCCACAGCCTTCTTGGAGTGAAACAGAAACAGTTTACAAAAGATAATAAAGAGCCTTTCTTATCATCTTCTTTCAGCGTCCTGCTGGTTGGGGCCTTATTGTGAGGGGACAGTAAGTAGTAATAATAGATGTCACTTTTATAGGTCACTTTCTTCCAGAAATAGAAGCATGCTTTCCAAGAAATCGTTTCTATCCAGTTACAACATCTGCCACTTCTGACTCTTTGATCTTAAGTGGTTCTTGGTTTTAGCTGTGTGTCTTAATCCCTACAGCTAGACTGCTGAGCATCCCTGGGACAAAGGACTACTGTGTCTTTACTTTCTATAGATTACCTGGTCAAGGGTTAAGCAATTTTTAGGGTTAACTGTTTGGGAACAGTAACCTGTTCCCAAAGGGGAATGGTTACCAGTCGAATTAGCTGGAGGCTGCCATAGAAATCAAGAGAGACCTCCTTCAGCTATGTGTCTTTAGCTTTGCCTCATTCATTTACTCATTCTTCATATTTGTATTTTTTCTTTTTTATATTGAAGGAGAGTTTTCAGTGCTGAAGGCCTTACCTCTAAACATTTATGAGCCTACTGCCTTCCAGGAGCTTCCTGTCTAGATGGACAAATAGGCATATCCACAAATAAGGAGACAAACTCCACACAGTATGGGCAAGGTATTTTGGAATGGGAGCACAGAGTTACCAAGAGGCGCTGGGAAGATGTCATGACAGGAGAAATGCTTTTGAGCTTTGTTTTGAGCTGGTAGCATCTGGTTTTTATTTGCTTTGATGTTCCCAGGTTTCTGTCCCATTCCCCTCCCACCACCACCTCCCATTTTTTAAAAAAATGCCATCAGCATAAGTTGTTGGCTTAAGTTAGCTTCACAGAGAACATCAGCATCTTTTCTAGTTTTTGTTGCGCCTACAGCATGCAAAGAAGTGTGCGTACATGCTAAATTGCCTCAGTCGTGTCAGACTCTTTGTGACCCTATGGACTAGCCTGCCAGGCTCCTCTGTCCATGGGATTCTCTAGGAAAGAATACTGGAGTGGGTTGCCATGCCCACCTCTGGGGCTCTTTCAACCGAGGGATCAAAAAAATAAATAAATAAATAAATAATAAAAATAATAAAAAAAATAAAATTAAATTAAAAAAAATCAACCCAGGGATCAAACCTATGTCTCATACATGTCTTGCATTGGCAGGTGGGTTCTTTACCACTCGCACCACCTGGGAAGCCAGATCAGCATAGGCCCATGAAGGTGGAGTTTAGGCTTATTTAGATGACCCTGTAACGTCACAGAAAGAGAAGTGGAGTTGGGATTGGAAAACCAGAGTTCTGACTTTGTCTCTTAGAAGCTTGTGGTCAGGGTTGGAAAATTCGGTATTTCCTAATTGCCCAAGAACTTAAGAAGTCCACTGCCTCTCCCTGCTCCCCAAAGGTATGGCAGTTGAACTTGGTAGTAAAGAAGAGCGGTACTGTTGGATGGCTGTTGAAACGATATGGGGGGTTAGATCAGCCATAAAATGCCAGCTCAGGTATTTTGCTTAGATTAGTTGACTGCCTTTCTGCACATATTTGTGTATTAACACATGTATGTGGACTCGAGAAAAATGGTACAGATGAACCTATTTGCAGGGCAGGCATAGAGATGTGGACATGGGGAACAGACTTGTGGGCATGGGGAAGGGAGTGGGGTGAACTGGAGACTGGGACTGAAGGATGTGCGCTGCCATGTGATGCAGACAGCTGGGAGGAAGCTGCTGGGTGAAACAGGGAGCTCAGCCGGCGCTCTGAGGACCCAGAGGGGTGAGATGGGGGCGGGGGAGGCTCGAGAGGGAGATTTGTGTGAACGTGTGGCTGACTCATGTTGTACAGCAGAAACTGACACACAATATTTGCTTTCAAAAGCAGGTTACTTCTTATCCCTTCATTTCTGCTGCTGCCAAAGGCATTCACATTTTCCCTCCAGAGGAAAGACTTGGCGGTAAATTTTTGTTTGAGGATAAGGTTTGCCTCTGTGTCCTAGGCTATATTCTAATTACTTCTGAAGAGACCTTATCATCCTCGCAGCAGCCTTCTCTATCAGTCTTGCTTGGGCCTTTGAGGATCCACGCAGCAGAGAGGTTCTGTGGATTTAATTCTCTTTCCTATAGACACATTCCATCTGTGCAGCTGTCTGTCCTCTCATTGTCTCAGGAACGCAAGGTACTATTGTGCTGCCAAGCTTGCTAACTTAATGGCATCCTTCTTGGAAATATTGTGGGTTTTGTGAAAAATATCAGTTAATAGAGGGGTACAATTTTGGAATGTCTGACTATAAGATGTCCTCACTTACTTTGTGAAATATATTCATTTAGAGTTTTCTGCTTCATGGGTTTTTTCAGTCAGCCTTCATGCAGTATGCTTTCTCCATAATACATTAGTGTTTCAATTTTAAAAATAATGGTTTTCTCCAAACACGATAATTGATGTTTGAGTGTGAGTTATGTGTATCCTGTGGCAGTGTATACTTCTGTTCCTGCATGCCTTAAGACTCACTTATTAGAAAGGCCTGTGACTTTCTGGTCCGATTGTCTCAGAGAAGTCAGTTGATTTAGTATCCTGTCAGAAGCAAGATTTGATAAGATCTGTGCCCTTTTTTGTCTTAGATTCGTTGTTTAGTAACTGTGGACTAGTTGTTTACCTTTAGTTCTTGCTGCCTCTGATAATCCTATATAAAACCTCAGGAATACAGTCATAGTGTGAAAGACTTGAGTCAGTTCTTCAGTTCAGTGATTCTTAACCACCTTAATAATTATTATTAAATAAGTTCATTTTATTGACAGTGATGAATGAATGAATTTAAAAGAGAACAGTAGTTACAGAAACTGTGGGAATTTTATGATTTTTCTTTTTCACGACAAACGCATGAACTTCTTTGGAAAGAAGGAAATGAAGTGCCAAATAAAGGCTTCCCTCACCCCCCCCGAAGAATTAAGAAAGTTGTAAGAAGGCATTTGGAAGAATTACTTCATTCTAGAAGTGTGAAGTGAAAGTCATTCACTTTCACTTGTGTCCAATTGTGTGCGACTCCATGGACTATACAGTCCATGGAATTTCGCTTGGCCAGAATACTGGAGTGGGTTGCCTTTCCCTTCTCCAAGGGATCTTCCCAACCCAGGAGTTGGACCCAGGTCTCCCACATTGCAGGCAGATTCTTTACCAGCTGAGCTGTAAGGGAAGCCCAGAAGTTGAAGAGGAGACAGATCTGATATCCCATGCTGAATTGTCCAAGCAGTGTGATAAAGTGAAACAGAACAAGGATTTTTGGCCTTGTCAAAATCCTACCTTCAAGTCCTGACTTAGATTTTATGAGTGCTGTACTCTTGGACAAAGTGCGAAGTGAGGTGTTAATTGCTCAGTCGTCTCCATCCCTGTGCAACCCAATGGACTGTAGCCCGTGAGGCTCCTCTGTCCATGGGATTCTCCAGGCAAGAACACTGGAGTGGGTAGCCATTCCCTCCTCCAGGGGATCTTCCCAACCCAGGGGTCAAACCCAGATCTCCCACATTGCAGGCAGATTCTTTACCATCTGAACCGCCAGGGAAGCCCTGGACAAAGCATTGGGTTGGCCAAAGTTTTTCCATAAGCTGGCATGGAAAAACAGAGACAAATTTTTAAGCCAACCCAATATTTGATCACGTTAGGAGCTTCAGTTTCTGAATCTGCAAAATGGGGATAATAAAACTCACTTCACAGAGCTGATGAGAGCATTCACTGCATGTGGCATGTTCAGTGCAGTGCTTGGCCACAGTGGCCTTTGTAGGTAAAAGAGTTTCCTATTCCCTCACATCAGCATTCCCCTTAGGGAGTCATGTTCATTTTTCTGGGTTTCTGGCCAGCATTAAGGCTATTAACTCAAAATAGCTTGAATCTCAAGTGGTACTCACCACTCTGATACCTGGTTTTAGTGAAAGAGAAAAATGACTCCTAATTTTGTAAGTCATTGCTGAGATTCATAGGCTTGACAAGAAGACGTGTGTGTGTGGGGGGGGGGGAGACATTTCACCTGAATTACTCCTGTGATCATTATGATCATTATGCATACCCTTCCCTCCCCATCTTTTGTTTTCCTTCATTTAACATGACTCTAAAACATGGAGTAGGAAATAAATGATGCAGATGGTTTTCACTTACATGAAAAATCATTGCTAGGAACTGAAAATTAGGGTTTTCACAGTTGAAATCCCTGCTTTTCAAGGCGATTATAGCTGCCGCACGCTGCAGGAACATAATGGTGATGGTGATGACGATAACCGTACACTGTGTGCCCGCTCAGGCACGTCTGTCCCATGAGGCATAGCTGCTATTATCCTCATTTTGCCAATGATGAAACTGAAGCACAAGGAGGTTAATCATATTCTTGGTGGCATAGTTAAGAAGTAGCAGAACCAGGATTTGAACTCAGTCTGACCCGAGAGCTGGTGCCCTCAACCAGTGAGTTAGATCCGGGAGGACAAGGGGAAGACATCCTTCAAACGAGCACCAATGTCCTAAAGCTGTGGCAGGCTATTTACTTTTCTATTTGTTCTATAGATATTCTGAGAGAAGCCTCACAAAGTGCATCGGAATTACTATTGAGACCAGACCAGATTACTGCATGAAGCGGCATCTCAGTGACATGTTGACCTACGGCTGCACGAGGCTGGAGATTGGGGTGCAGAGTGTCTATGAGGATGTGGCCAGAGATACCAACCGGTAAGATGGTGCAGGTGATCTTGCACAAGGCTTCCTCTTCCCCCACCAAACAGATCGATGCTGCTACCCATCTGAGAGGGAGGAGTCTAGGTGTTCCTCCTATTCATTTTTTCGTCCATGCTCTGAACCCCATCTCCTCCTTCCTTGACTTTCTGTCTTTCTGTGCTGACTCTTTTCCAGTAGCCTGTAAACATCATCTTCATCCCTCTTCCTATTCATAAATGGCCTTTCCTGTACAGAAAGCAAGTCAGTCAGTCAGTCAGTTCAGTCGCTCAGTCGTGTCCGACTCTTTGTAACCCCATGAATCACAGCACGCCAGGCCTCCCTATCCATCACAAACTCCCGGAGTTTACTCAAACTCATGCCCATCCAGTCAGTGATGCCATCCAGCCATCTCATCCTCTGTCATCCCCTTCTCCTCCTGCCCCCAATCCCTCCCAGCATCAGGGTCTTTTCCAATGAGTCAACTCTTCACATGAGGTGGCCAAAGTATTGGAGTTTCAGCTTCAGCATCAGTCCTTCCAGTGAACACCCAGGACTTATCTCCTTTAGGATGGACTGGTTGGATCTCCTTGCAGTCCAAGGGACTTTCAAGAGTCTTCTCCAACACCACAGTTCAAAAGCATCAATTTTTTGGTGCTCAGCTTTCTTCACAGTCCAACTCTCACATCCATACATGACCACTGGAAAAACCATAGCCTTGACTAGATGGACCTTTGTTGGCAAAGTAATGTCTCTGCTTTTTAATATGCTATCTAGGTTGGTCATAACTTTTCTTCCAAGGAGTAAGCGTCTTTTAATTTCATGGCTGCGGTCACCATCTGCAGTGATTTTGGAGCCCCAAAAAATAAAGTCTGACACTGTTTCCACTGTGTCCCCATCTATTTCCTATGAGGTGATGGGACCAGATGCCATGATCTTAGTTTTCTGAATGTTGAGCTTTAAGTCAACTTTTTTACTCTCCTCTTTCACTTTCAAAGACAGGGTTCAAACTCAATGGTTTAAAGCAGGAGAGAAGGCCAAGGAGAATAGGAACAGAGAAAAGGGTTTGAACAAGAAGGAAGCCAGAGGGACTTCCCTAGTGGTCCAATGGTTGAGAATTCGCCTGCCAGTGTGGAGTACACAGGTTTGATTGCTGGGTGATGGTCATCGTTAACTAACAGGGGGACTTCCCTAGTGGTCCAGTGGTTCAGAATTTGCCTGTCAGTGTGGGGGACACAGGTCGATTGCTGGGTGATGGTCATCGTTAACAAAGACCCCACATGCTGCAGGGTAACCAAGCCTGTGTGCCACAATTACTGAGCCCATGCACCTCAACTGCATGGATTGGAGGTGCACCTCAACCCATGCACCCACACGTGGACACCCACGTGTGCCTCAACTCGAGAGCCAGAGCACTGCAAACTATAGAGCCCACATGCCTTGGAGCCCGCGCACTGCAGCGAAGATTCTGTGTGCCACAACTGAGACCCAGCACGGTCGATCAGTTCGTAAACAAATAAGCCCAGGTGAGATCTAACAGATTAGTTTTTATGAAGCAAATGCCAACTGGCAGGGTAGTGAAAGAATGGCTGGTGAGATGATGGGTATAAACTTTGAGAAACTTGAGAGTCTAAGGAAGGAAGGAGTAAGAGCTGATAGAGGCAATATGAAGTTCTTTTCTATCCAGAAATAAAAACAGGTTTCAGGAGTAGGTGTGTGTTGAGCTGGACCTTAAAGGCTACTTCACTTTAATAGGGGTTAGACAGACATGATGGAGGGTTGTGATTGGAGAAGGAACTAAAGGGAAATCAGGGAAACACATGGGTCAGCATCTTAGAAACAACCAAGAAGAGTTCCAGGCTAGGGAAGGCGGATGCTTCCCTTAAGGTAATTTGTTGTTGTTAGTTAGTCGATATGTCATGTCCGACTCTTTGCGACCCCATAGACTGTAGCCCCTACAAGCTTCTCTGTCCATGAAATTTCTCAGGCAAGAATACTGGAGTGGGTTGCCATTTCACTCTCCAGGGAATCTTCCCAACCCAGGAATCGAACCCACGTCTCCTGCATTGGCAACTAGATTCTTTACCACTGAGCCAGGGGGAAACCCCTTTAAGGTAATAGAGATCTCCAAAATATTTTTGTCCACAGGAAGAGTCTGATGGATATCAGGCTTGAGAAAGATCAATGTGAATAGGATGCAGTCTTGTTGGGGAAGGCTTGAGCCAGAAACACTGGTAGGGCTGCTGCAGTAATAACCAAGGATGAGCTGGAGAGATACCCTGGGGATGGAGTCTCTTGGAGGTCAGAGAAGCTTCCTGAAGAAAATGACGTGGAAGCTGAGACTCACAGGAAGAGTCTGAGTTAGTCAGGTGGGGAAGAGGAAGACTGTTTCAGGCTGAAAGAAAAGTACAAGCAAGCTCCTGAGAGTGGAAGCACATCATGGCGCGTTTAGGGATTTTGGAGTGATTTTGTTTGGTGGAGCATGAGGTGGGAGCCTGGTCAGAGGTGAGGCTGAAAGGATCAGCAGAGGGACAAGAGCCTTAGAAGTTGGCCCAGTGGGCTTAGACTTTAATCCAAGGCCAGCTAAGTTGTGTTCAAGGCATATCTGCATTTTATTGATTGATTTATTGATTGTCACACCACATGGCTTATGGGATCTTAAGTTCCCCTGCCAGGGATCGAACCGCTGCCCCCTGCAGAGGAAACTGGAAGTCTTAAACCACTGGACCCCAGGGAAGTCCCCATATCCGCATTTTAGAAACATCACTTTTCAGGAATCACAGTGTGAGGGTGGACTAAGACGATGGAAGGAAGCCCAGTGCAGAGGCTGTTGCAGTAATTCAGGCAGGAGGTGATATCCTGAGAAGCATTGTATGGTGACCGAATGGGAATGAGGGTGAGACAGAATGGGAAGGAGAGAGGCTGGGAGGCAAGATGAGTTTCATTGTGGAAAACTAGGCTTTAGACCCTTACATACTGGTGGAACAACCAGCGGAAGGTTTGCTTTAGAGCTGGGCTGTCCAGCAGAACATTGCACAGTGTCTGAAATGTTCGGAACCCACGTTGTCCACTGTGATAGCACAGCCAAGGAACTGAATTATTGATTTGGATCCGTTTCAAGATGAACTTGAATAACCATGTGCGCCTTGTGACTACAGTATTGTACAGTGCGGCAGTAGCGTATTGGGTATTTGGGCTTGGTGTCAGAAGAGAGGCCTGACCCAGCCATGGAAAGTGAGAAGTTGTTAGCAAAAGGAGATCAGAGATTGAAGCCTTGGAAATGAATAGGAACCTTCAGAGAGTGGGCTGGGATCCACAGTTTCTAGGAGTTTTGGGTGGTGAATGGGAAGGTCTTTCTGGTGAGAGCACTGTGGGCTTCAGTTTTTAATAGCCCCAAACTATTAATAGGGCTTGCGTCTTGAATGTAGCGCTAGAATGGTAAGCTGACTTATCCAGCGGGCCCCAAATGATTCCACCTTGTCACTCAATTATACTTTCTTCTAACTAATACTTTTTTAAGGACCTGCAAGCCCACCAGAATGAAATGTACTTTGCGTATTGATGAATCTGTCTCTTTCTGTCCCCCTTTCCCTTCCTCCCTTTCTTTCTCCCAATGAAATTATTTGTAATAAATATTTCTAAAAGAAAGGGCATGGCAAGATGAAGTTCCTGTAAGGCTCTGATCTCACTATTCTTGTTTTTAACCTAAGTATTTGTATTAGCAGACTTATTTTGGCCCATAATGCTAAACCAGGTAATTTTAGTATATATTAATTCTTTTTCCCTGGTGGCTCAGTCAGTGAAGAATCCACCTGCAATGCAGAAGAACCAGGTTTGATCCCTGGATTGGGAAGATCCTCTGGAGAAGGAAATGGCAACCCACTCCAGTATTCTTACCTGGAGAATCCCCTCGGATAGAGGAGCCTAGTGGGCTGTAGTCCCTGGGGTTACAAGAATAGGACACAGCTAAGCGACTAAACCACCACTATATTAATTCTTGTGACCTCAGTCACTTGCTGTCAGAACTCTGAGGAGGTGCATAAGGGAATTTCTGAGAAATATCTCAGAAGTAAAATTACTTTTCTCCAGGCCTTCTTAGAAGCAGAGATGTAAAGATGACTTTCTAAGATTTCCTTTTCCCCAACCATATTCATTCCAGAGCTGCTATTACCTGTGTCAGACTTTGTTTCCCCCTGTTGCTGCTGCTCACCTTCTTGCCCGTTTATTTGTGTAACAGGTAGTGAATTTTCTTTCCTCAGGGGCCACACTGTGAAGGCAGTATGCGAGTCCTTCCACCTGGCCAAAGATTCTGGCTTCAAAGTGGTGGCTCATATGATGCCTGATCTGCCGAACGTGGGACTGGAGAGAGACATTGAACAGTTTATAGTAAGTGTTAACCCAAACCAAGCTGCTTGAGAAGCCTCTGCATGCCCCTTCTACACTTTCTGCTTTTCTTCTTTTTTTTTTAACTTTTTATTTTGTGTTGGAGTATAGCTAATTAACAATGTTGAGATAGTTTCAGGTGGATAGCAGAGGGACTCAGCCATACGTATACATGTATCCAATAAGTATAATTCTTCCATCTTTTGGGAATTGTGTGGTTTTGTTCTCTGATTACTCCACTGGATATGAATATTTTTAATGTTAATTATATGAACTTTCTAGGCAATATGTTTAAAATATTTTCCCCACACTATTCTTGGTCTTTTACTTTTGTTTCTGTTGTCAAAGCTTTCCTATTTACTTATTTATTTAGTGATTTCTTAAGATGCTTCTAAGCTTAGAACTGCCTTTCTCTTTCAGGATTTCCTTAAACAGTGAAAGAAACTATTCTGTTTTCTTCTAGCCTTTCTGTTCTTTGAATTTTAATACCTAACTCTGGGCTTGGTTTGCTTCTTAAAAAAAATTATTAGTTTATTTTTGGTTGCACTGGGCGTTCATCGCTGCACTCGGGCTTTCTCTAGTTGTGGCGAGGAGGGGCTCCTCTTCATTGCGATGCACGGGCTCTCATTGTGATGGCCTCTTGTATTGTGGAGGTCGGGCTCTGTAGGCTTCAGTAGTTGCGTCTCAGGCTCTAGAGCTTGGGCTCACTGGTTGAGGGGCCCAGTCTCTAGTTGCCTGCAGTATGTGAAATCTTCTCTGACCAGGGATCAAACCCGTGTCCCCCGCATTGGCAGGCAGATTCTTATCCACTGTACCCCCAGGGAAATCCTGTTTGTTTTTACTCTATCACATGTTAGCTTGATCCATGTTAGCTTGGTCTTGGGAAATGAGATTGGTCAAAACTCTTTCTTCCTTCAGATTCTCAAATAGGAAAGTGGCTTAGGGATATCCTTTTAGAGAAGAGGATGAAAATGTTTATCAAGTTATTTGATTAACAAAAAGACTTTTATGCTCTGTTATTAGAACACTGGTATTTATCATGATGTTCTTTCTTTCCTTTCAGAAAGTTTATTTTTATTACTTCCAAGCAAATGAAATACAACTAAAGGTCTGTTTTATAAGATAGCATGAATTCACAGATGTTACAAATTCCCTCATATTGACGATGTAATAGATTTTGAGTCATATCTTCCCCTCAGTAGTATTAGCTGGGTACTCAGACTATAAGCCTAAAAGGCACCTGAAATACACATTTCTTTACAGCACAGCTTCTGGGCGGGCCAGTGGTACAGCCAGAGTTCATAACTTTAAGTACCCTTGGGGAAAAAAAAAATATGTAAAGGAATAGCAAATAACTGAGTCTCACAATTTATTTTCTTGTATAGATACGTCAGATTAGAAAGCTGTTTGATAGTATCTACTAAAAGCAAACATACACATACTCCATGACCCAGCAATTCTACTTCCTCACGTTTACCCAACGGAAATGTGCACATGTATTTACCAAAACACAGTCACAGATTTCTGAGGGTAGTATCATAAGATTGAAAACACCCCAGGTGTCCATCAAAGTCAAATACATAAATAACTTGTGGTATAGTCAAACAATGAAATACATAAAGCAGTAAGACTAAATTAATTATGGCTTCATGCAACAACGTGGCTGATTCTATTCAACATGATATTGAGCAAAGGAAACCAGATCCAAAAGACAACCTAACATATAATTCTATTAATGTGAGGTTCAGAAGCTTTGGGTGGATTTGTAACTGGAAGTGGACATGTGGTAGGCTTCTGAGGTTTTGATAATGTGCCTTTTCTTAACTTGAGCATCTGGGTACTGGTTACATGATTTGGAAAAATCTGTCTTCAAGAGGGAAGTGACATATGTATACCTGTGGCTGATTCATGTTGACCTATGGCAGAAACCAACGCAATATTGTAAAGCAGTTACCCTTCAATTAAATAAATGTTTAAAAATCTATCAAGATGTACACTTATGATTTGTGTACTTTTCCATACTAAGATATGTTTCAATAAAAGGTTTACTAATTTTTTTAAAAAACTGGGTTTTGTCTAGGAAATATTGTTTTCTAGAGATTTTCTGAACTAGTAGGCAGCATATTTTACACTTTAAAAACTTTTTCCTCCTCTACTTTTATTGTCACATATAGCCCACAGATAGTTCCCTTTATGTGTTTTATCCATTGGAAGCATTGCTAAGGGGTCTACTTGTAATAATTGTAGAAGTCTATAAAATGTTATCACCCTGGAGGACAAGGTCACCTTGCCTGGTACATCCATAAAGCATCTACAGCTATTGAGGTATTTCATCCATAGTATCTCTAGGGTTGTGTGCCTTAGTTATATATTGGCTTTGCTGTCACACCTTGTTACTTAGGCTAATTCTGAGTCACTAAGAGCAGAAGTGGTCATTTGCATCTGTTCATTGTAGATTCACACTCTTATCTAGTGATAGGTGCAGAGCTGGTCAAAGCTGTGTGTGATAAATAGCATTTACTTATATTGTCCAGTAACTCAAATTTACTTTTGAAATGAAGTTTTCTTTTTCCTTATAAAGCTGAAAGTCCTGGCTGTGATGGAGAATGTTTAACATCTTAGGACTTTATCTTCCGAGCATTAACTTCACCCTTTCCACCTGTCCTCAGATAGGACTACAAAATGTTGTATCATTTATTACTCATAATAACTTTTTGCTGTTTCGGTCTTTTATTCTTTTAAAATTAGACTGCTTTTGGATATCCAAGTTCAGGGTGCTGAAAATGCTTAGCATTTCATCTAAGCATCACTAAGAAAGTGTTGGTTTCTCTTGAGGAAAAATTTATCTCCAGAACCTTCTGTCAGTCATGGGAAGTCTTTCAAGGTCCATCCATGTTTGCCTACCTTTTTGACTCTCAGGAGTTGCCCGCACCCACAATAAGCTGTTTTTCCCAAAAACCAAGTGATCAAGTTACAGCTTGCCAGGTCCTCCCCTGCCAGCACAGACATACACATACACACAGTCTTCCCTCAAACATTGTACTATACTTGCTAACCTCCAAATCCAAAGGCTACTTCTCTGCTGACATTTTATCCAACCTTAGCGTTTGTTATTGTTAGAGACTATCTCCAGGGATTTCCCTGGTGGTTCAGTGGTTAAGAATCCGCCTCCCAGTGCAGGGAATGCAAGTTAGATCCCTGGTCGGGGAAGGTAGATCCCACGGGACTATCTCTAGTCTGAAATTCCCACCTCCCTGGCTTTTGTGACTCTGCCGTCTCCTGGTTCCCTTCTAGCCTCTAGGACTATTTCTTTTCTGCTAGATCTTCTTTTTCTCCTCACTGCGTAAGTGTGGCTTCTGTCTTTTGCTCTCTTCTATATGTGTGTGTCTGTCTTCTGTTGTCCCGACTTTACCACTTACACCTCAATGAATCTCATTTTCTTTGCAGTCTTAAGCCTCAGCTCTTAAGCCCAATTGCTGAATACTCTTCAACAGGCACCAGAGGCCTTACACGTACTTCAGCCTTAATGTATCCGATATGGACATACTTCTCCATTCCCCGGTGGTCTCCTCCCCTACTGTTTCCTGTACTGTTTGTGGCCCCGCCATCCATGTACTCTCCCAAGCTAGACATTTAGGAATCATTCAGAAGGAAGTAGAAAATATTTGGACTCCAGAGCCAGACTGGGGCGAGCTTGCATCCTGGCCCCACCACTTGGTAGCAAACTGTTTGAACCGCTTTGTTCCTCAGTTTCCTCATCTTTAAAATGGGGCAGCTGTGAAGATGGGCAGAGATAATGCATCGTTAGAAAAATGCCTGGCAGAGCAAGTGCTCAGTACGTCTGCTGCTGCTGCTCCTGTTACTGTTCCCTGTACTCTGGGTCTGATCCCACAGGAGGTCCTCTCTGTTACTCCCCCTGAATATCTTTTAAAACTGTCCCCTCCTCTTCAGCCCCACCGCCACAGCTTCATGCTTTTGTCAGCTCACTGCAAAGGCAGACAGCTTCTTATCTGATCACAGGGTCACCAGCCATGTTCCCATCTAATGTATCATTCACACTACCAGCAGAATGATGTTTATTAGTTTTTAAGTTTATAAAATAAGTGAAAGTAATAAACTATTAGTAAATAGTATTTGAGAATCCAGTACCTCCTAAGGGGGTCATATCGAAATGCAGTAGTCCTCTGCCACTTTCAACTGTTGTAGCCTAGTGGTGGGGGCAGGGGTCCTAATATTTACCACCATGTTTCCTTCTTCTGTGCTTGGATTGCTTTTTCCTGAGCATCAGTAGAGAGAATCTCTTGTCCTACTGTTGTTGTTCAGTCGCTCAGTTGTGTCTGACTCTTTGCGACCCTGTGGACTAGAGCACGCCATGCTTCCCTGCCCATCACCAACTCCTGGAGTTTGCTTAAACTCATGTCCACTGAGTCAGTGATGCCATCCAACCATCTCATCCTCTGTCATCCCCTTCTCCTCCTGCCCTCAGTCTTTCCCAGCATCAGAGTCTTTTCCAATGAACTGGCACTTCACATCAGGTGGCCAAAGTATTAGAGCTTCAACTTTAGCATCAGACCTTCCAGGTGGTCCAAGTATTGAAGCTTCAGCTGTAGCATCAGTCCTTCCAGTGAATATTTAGCGTTGATTTCCTTTAGGATGGACTGGTTTGATCCCTTTGCTGTCCGTGGGACTCTCAAGTGTCTTCTCCAGCACCATAGTTTGAAAGAATCAGTTCTTCGGTGCTCAGCCTTCTTTATGGTTCAACTCTCACATCCATACATGACTACTGGAAAAACCTTAGTTTTGACTATGTGGACCTTTGCCAGTAAAGTAATGTCTCTGCTTTCTAATATGCTGTTTAGGTTGGTCATAGCTTTTCTTCCAGGAAGCAAGTATCTTTTAATCTTAAGCCTGCAGTCAACATCTGCAGTGATTTTGGAGAAAATAAAGTCTGTCACCATTTCCATTCTTGCCCCATCTGTTTGCCATGAAGTGATGGGACCAGATGGCCATGATCTTAGTTTTTTGAATGTTGAATTTTAAGCCAACTTTTTCACTCTTCTCTTTCACTTTCATCAAGAGGCTCTTTAGTTCTTCGCTTTCTGCCATAAGTGTGGCGTCATCTGCATATCTGAAGATTATTGACATTTCTCCCAGCAATCTTGATTCCAGCTTGTGATTCATCCATCCTTGCATTTTGCATGATGTACTCTGCATAGGGGTTAAATAAGCAGAGTGATAATATATAGCCTTGACATACTCCTTTCCTAATTTGGAACCAGTCCATTGTTCCATGTCTAGCTGTAACTGTTGCTTCTTGACCTGCCTAGAGGTTTCTCAGGAGGCAGATAAGGTGTTTTGGTATTCCCATCTGTTTAAGAATTTTCCACAGTTTGTTGTGATCCACACAGTCAAAGGGTTTAGTGTAGTCAGTGAAGCAGAGGTAGATGTTTTTCTAGAATTCTCCAAGTTCCTGTAACCTTCAAATGTCCCCGTTCAGTGTTAAAGCCCCCCTGTCACTGGCCAACCCTGTCCAATACTCTAAGTTCCATTTTTAGGCTGAAGATATAGCTCTTGGACATCTAGTCTTCCAGCTCCAGACTGGACTGGCAATTCTCTGTCTAGTTCACACCTGTCTTCCTTAGGGCCCCTTTTCTCACTCTCTACAGTCAGAGCCTTTGTTTTAGAAACCAAATTAATCCTTTTTATTGCTTTATTCCTTTACTTGGGCTCCCCTGATGACTCAGATGATAAGAATCTGCCGCAATGCAGGAGACCCGGGTTTGATCTCTGGATTGGGAGGATCCCCTGGAGGAGGAAATGGCAACCCTCTCCAGTATTCTTGCCTGGAGAATCCCCCTGGACAGAGGAACCTGGAGGGCTACAGTTCATGGGGTTGCAAAGAGGCAGACACGACTGAACAGCTGACACTTCACACTTCAACACTTCCTTTACTAAAACACATTCTCCAGCAGCTTCCTAAGAAAGGATTCATCATGGAAAGTAAGCCTTTTACGTGTTCAAGAATGTCTTTATTCTGTCTTCTACCTTCACACTTAACAGAATTCTATAAAGCCATTTTACCTCCTTTTTTTTTTCTTTTTAAAAACACGTTATGCCATTGTCTTGTAGCTCTTTTAGTGCTGCCAAGAAGCATATTGTCATTCCTAACACTGTATTCCTTATTCCTAACACTGTATTCCTTATTCCTTAAAAACTACAATATATATAACCTGGGTTTTTTTCACTCTGGAGAAAGTGATGTATTACAGTGGTGTATCTTAAGAGAGTTTTTTAAAAATTAATCATGCTATATTTTGATTGAGTCTCATCATCTGAGAAATTTCTTTGTAATATGGGATACTTTTTCCTGTTTCATTTTCTGTGTTCTGTTTCTAAAACTCGTATTAGAAATGTTGGCTCTCCCAGGTTGATTACCTGATATTCTTATCTTTTCTGTTTTTATTTGTCTTTTTTTTTCCTGCTTTCTTATTATTTTCTCACTTTATCTTTCAACTTTTCTAGTAAATGTTTTTGTTATAGTTTTAATTTCCAAGAGTTCTTTCTTACCTTCTCGTTGTTAGTTCTCTCGCATCCTCTTGTTTTATGTGTGTGTGTGCGCTCAATCATGTCCAACTTTTTGTGGCCCCCTGGACTGTAGCACTCCGGGCTCCTCTGTTCATGGAATTTTCCAGGCAAAAATACTGGAGTGGGTTGTCATTTCCTTCTCTAAGGGATCTTCCTGACCCAGGGATCAAACAAACCCACATCTCTTGCGTCTCCTACACTGGCAAGTTCTTTGCCACCTGGGAAGCCCTTTATGGATGTACTAGATCTTCTCTGTCTAAAGGAATTATAGTTTTTTTTTTTAAGCTTTATTTTTCCTTCATGCAATGCCTCTGCTTCCTCCAGGTTCCTCTGTTTCTTTTTGTTTTGGTCTACCTTTCCTGTTTTAGACTCCCCCCCAAGTATCTGGTAATCCTTAGCCAAATGGTCATGCTTTAAAGTGAGGAGCTGAAAACCAGATCACAAGCTGTTTGTGGCTTGTTGATGGTAGCCTTCCTTTCTTTAGGGGATTCCCTAAAGAACTCTTATTTAGGACCATTTATTTAATCCAGAGACAAACTCTGCAGCGTGCTCCTGGGGGCTGTGGGGGCTGTGGTGTAGGTCACAGCAAACTGGTTACTAGTGTGCAGGAGGCAGGGTGGGCTCCGCCACTTACCATGCTGGCTTTCACCTACTCTCCTTGTTTTCAAGCTCTGATCCTCACGCATGTCTTCTTCTGCACCTGGAATCCCAGACTCCAGCAGCTTTCTAGTTTCTCCAGGGAGCAAACGGGCAGGTGGCCGCCTGTAGGAGGATGCAGGAACTAGGGGACTAGAGATAAACGTGTGGGGAGACTTTGATCCAGTGCTGTCTCCCCTCCTGCCTGTTGCCTGCTGTTTCTGATTTACGTGCCTTCCTGGGACCCTTGTGTGACTGAGCTGCCTTTTCATCCGTACCCTCCTTTGCAGATAGTTTGTTTGCAGTTTTCTTCATTTGCAGTCATTTACCAATCTTCCATTTTCTGTCTTCCAGAAATTTACTACCATCACTTATTCCTCCTCCTCTCTCCTCTAATGTTCCCTTTGTTCCTCTGGGTTTATGGTTTTAAAAAAAATTATTTCCTGTTATTTAGTGTGATTTTGGAAGAAAAGGAAAGAAACATATTTCAGTTCTCCACATTTAACGAGAAATCCTGCACCTGTTCGAACTATTATCATCCTTATGAAACCATTTTATCAGCCCTTATATCTCCTAAATTTATTATGCTAGTAGCCAGAAGTACTTTGCTGAAATCCTATATTCCCCGTATGGATGCAGACTAAGTGGAGAGTGACTTGCATACATACGCTTTGTGGATGGCTATAGAATATTTATTAAAGACTGGATGACTCTTTAAAATATAAATGTTACAGGGAAAATTACACACAGTTACAGCAGGCTGTCCCTCAGAGCCAGTGGTGCACAAAGATTAGAGCATTTAAGATGATAATAGGAATCAATGAGAGAGATCAAAAACTCAGTAGTTACATCTCTTTGGAAAGCAAGTTACACAATGGAAAGCTCTGGAGTAATAACTGCACAAGATAGAAAGCATTTACTCCATTCACAAGATACAGTACTCTGGCCATTTAGATACTAATGCCGGGTCGGGGTGAGAGGAAACTATGTGAATCCACTTTAATTCCTCCATCACATGGCAAGTGGAATCCAGATAAGAGCAAATTTGCGGTGCAAAATCATAGAAAGGAGAAGGCTTGATGTCTCCTTGCTTCATCCCAAGTAAAGAAATAAGCCAGCTGGGGTGATACAATGCAGGAAATGACTGTGTCAAAGAGATGAATTAGCTGTATCGCTCAGCATCCAGGTGACAAATGGACTGTGTGTGTCTTCTGGGTTAGGAACGGCACCCATTGGCCTGAGGACAACACAGTCATACCCAGGGGTCAGCATACTTTCTCTGCAGAGGGTCACATGGAAAACACTGTAGGTTTTGCAACCCAGATAATGATCTATGTCACTTTTAAAAGTCACTTTTAAATATATTCCATTATTAAAGGAGGATACGGTCTGGAGGTAAAGGCGGGCATCAGATGAATCGTCAGTATGATGATAAGAAAGCAATAATACAGAATTCCACACCCCCCAAAAAAAATTTAAGTGAAGCAGTTTGTATTTGAAGGTCAGTAAGACCTCGTTGAAGAATTGGCATTCAAGCTGAGACCCAAAGGTGAGCTAGATGAAGAAAACCTGACAGTATTTCCAGGCAGAGACCTGGAAATGGCTTTGCCATAGCAGGAAGGGAAGGTGGGGAGGGTGGCAGCAGTGGCCAGGAGGGGGTCAGCCAGGGCTCGGGCATCCAGCACCCGGGTGTGTTGCTCCCGTGAGACTGGAAAAACAGTGAGTTTCTGTTCTGTCTCCCTCCCCTCGCTTGATGGAAAGTAGTCTAGGGACCAGGCAGGCATGTGAGAGAAGTCGGCCCACGATGGAAGCTTCACCATGGGTAATCTCCATGTAACTAATGGAGCTCATCTTCTCTCTCCACAGGAGTTTTTCGAGAACCCAGCTTTCCGTCCTGACGGTTTGAAACTCTACCCCACCCTGGTGATTCGTGGGACAGGGCTCTATGAGCTGTGGAAGTCAGGAAGATACAAGAGTTATTCCCCCAGCGACCTGATCGAGTTGGTGGCCCGGATCCTGGCCCTCGTACCTCCGTGGACGCGAGTGTACCGCGTGCAGAGGTAGTGTGTTACCTTTCCTGCCAGCAGTCATTAGTGACAAGCCTGTCTGTCCACAGTTTCTAATGAGAACAGTGTCACTGAAAATTGATGGGTTTGAATTTTTTTCATTATAAATGAGTCACCAGGAATGCTCCCTGTAGATAGAGGGGTTGGGAATGATAAGGCAGGTGTCCAAGCTGCCTTGCTATGTCATGGGTATCCATGTGTTCATCCCTCTACTCATTCATGAGCCAGGAGATGGATGGAGGGTGATGGGCAGCAGTGTGGTGTGGGGTTGCAGGAGCCTGTGACTCGATCAGTGTTTCCTCTTCCGGATCTGCTCCAACCCAGATCCTATAGTGAGTATAAGAGGACACACTATGGCCATATGTGTGTTATCCCTGTTCTGGAGCCTCTGAAAGAGTAGCAACAGGCATTCTTCACTGTTATTAACGTAAGTATGGAGAAAGAGTTACCTATTCCTGTTGGCATGAAGGAAATCATCTGAACTGTTTTTTCTAGGAGAGAGAATCTGAGATCTCATTTACAACCATGGTTTGTTTGTTTTTTCTTGTTTGTGCTGTGAGGCATGCGGGATCTTAGTTCCCTGATCAGGGATCAGAATCATGCCCCCTGCAGTGGAAGTTTAGTTCAGTTCAGTCACTCACTCATGTCCGACTCTTTGTGACCCCATGGACTGCAGCACGCCAGGCCTCCCTACCCATCACTAACTCCGAGAGCTTGTTCAAACTCATGTCCATCGAGTTGGTGATGCCATCCAACCATCTCATCCTCTGTTGTCCCCTTCTCCTCCTGTCTTCAATCTTTCCCAGCATCAGGGTCTTTTCCTATGAGTCAGTTCCTTGCATCAGGTGGCCAAAGTATTGGAATTTCAACTTCAACATCAGTCTTTCCAATGAATATTCAGGACTGATTTCCTTTAAGATTGACTGGTTGGACCTCTTTGCAGTCCAAGGGACTCTGAAGAGTCTTCTCCAACACCACAATTCGAAAGCATCAATTCTTCGATGTTCAGCTTTCTTTATAGTCCAGCACTCACATCCATACATGACTACTGGAAAAACCACAGCTTTGATTTGACAGATCTTTGTTGGCCAAGTAATGACTCTGCCTTTTAATATGCTGTCTAGGTGGGTCATAGCTTTTCTTCCAAGAAGCAAGCATCTTTTAATTTCATGGCTACAGTCACCATCTGCAGTGATTTGGGAGCCCTGAAATATAAAGTCTGTCACTCTTTCCATTGTTTCCCCATCTATTTGCCATGAAGTGATGGGGCCAGATGCCATGATCTTAGTTTTCGGAATGTTGAGTTTTAAGCCAGCTTTTTCACTCTCCTCTTTCACTTTCATCAAGAGGCTCTTTAGTACTTCTTCGCTTTTTGCCATAAGGATGGCGTCATCTGCATATCTGAAGTTATTGATAGTTCTTCTGGCAATCTTGATTCCAGCTTGTGCTTCATCCAGCCTGGCATTTCGCATGATGTACTCTGCATATAAGTTAAATAAGCAGAGTGACAGTATACAGCCTTCACATACTCCTTTCCCAATTTGGAAACAGTCTGTTGTTCCATGTCCAGTTCTAACTGTTGCTTCTTTTCCTGCATACAGATTTCTTAAGAAGCAGGTAAGGTGGTCTGGTATTCCCATCTCTTTTAAGAATTTTCCACAGTTTGTTGTGATCCACCCAGTGAAATCTTTAACATAGTCAATGAAGCAGGAGTAGATGTTTTCTGGAACTCTCTTGCTTTTTTGATGATCCAGCAAATGTGGGCAATTTGATCTCTGGTTCCTCTGCCTTTTCTAAATCCAGTTTGAACATCTGGAAGTTCACAGTTCATGTACTATTGAAGCCTGGCTTGGAGAATTTTGAGCATTACTTTACTAGCGTGTGAGATGAGTGCAATTGTGCAATAATTTGAACATTCTTTGGCATTGCCTTTCTTTGGAATTGGAATGAAAACTGACCTTTTCCAGTCCTGTGGCCACTGCTGAGTTTTCCAAAGTTGCTGGCATATTGAGTGCAGCACTTTCATAGCATCATCTTTTAGGATTTGAAATAGCTCAACTGGAATTCCATCATCTCCTCTAGCTTTGTTCATAGTGATGCTTCCTAAGGCCCGCTTGACTTCATTTTCTAGGATGTCTGGCTCTAGGTGACTGATCACACCACTGTGCTTATGTGGGTCATGAAGATCTTTTTTGTATAGTTCTTCTGTGTATTCTTGCCACCTCTTCTTTATATCTTCTGCTTCTATTAGGTCCATACTATTTCTGTCCTTTATTGTGCCCATCTTTGCATGAAATGTTCCCTTAGTAGCTCTGATTTTCGTGAAGAGATCTCTAGTCTTTCCCCATTCTATTGTTTTCCTCTATTTCTTTGCACTGATCACTGAGGAAGACTTTCTTATCTCTCCTTACTCTTCTTTGGATCTCTGCATTCAGATGGGTATATCTTTCTTTTTCTCCTTTGCCTTTTGCTTTTCTTCTTCACTCAGCTATGTGTAAGGCCTCCTCAGACAACCAGTTTGCCTTTTTGCATTTCTTTTTCTTGGGAATAGTCTTGATCACTGCCTCCAGTACAGTGTCACAAACCTCTGTCCATAGTTCTTCAGGCACTCGGTCTATCAGATCTAATCCCTTAAATGTGTTACTTCCACTGTATAATCATAAGGGATTTGATTTAGGTCATACCTGAATGGTCCAGTGGTTTTCCCTGTGTTCTTCAATTTAAGTCTGAATTTGGCAATAAGGAGTTCATGATCTAAGAAACAGTCACCTCCCAGTCTTGTTTTTGCTGATTCTATAGAGCTTCTCCATCTTTGGCTGCAAAGAATATAATCAGTCTGATTTCGGTATTGACCATCTGGTGATGTTCATTTGTAGAGTCTTCTCTTGTGTTGTTGGAAGAGAGTATTTGCTATGACCAGTGCGTTCTCTTGGCAAAACTCAGTTAGTCTTTGCCCTGCTTCATTTTGTACTCCAAGGCCTAATTTGCCTGTTACTCCAGGTATCTCTTGACTTCCTACTTTTGCATTCCAGCTCCCTATAATGAAAAGGACATCTTTTTTTGGTGTCAGTTCTAGAAGGTTTTGTAGGTCTTCACAGAACTATCCAACTTTAGCTTCTTCAGCATTACTGGTTGGGGCATAGACTTGGATTACTGGGATATTGAATGGCTTGCCTTGGAAACAAACAGATCATTCTGTCGTTTGAGATTGCATCCAAGTACTGCATTTCAGAATCTTTTGTTGACTATGAGGGCTACTCCATTTCTTCTGAGGGATTCTTGCCCACAGGAGTAGATATAATGGTCATCTGAGTTAAATTCACCCCTTCCAGTCCATTTTAGTTTGCTGATTCCTAAAGTGTCAATGTTCACTCTTGCCGTCTCCTGTTTGACCACTTCCAATTTACCTTGATTCATGGACCTAACGTTCCAGGTTCCTGTGCAGTAATGTTCTTTACAACATCGGATTTTACTTCCATCACCAGTCACATCCACAACTGGGTGGTGTTTTTGCTTTGGCTCCATCTCTTAATTCTTTCTGGAGTTATTTCTCCTTTCTTCTCCAGTAGCATATCGGGCACCTCCTGACCTGGGAGTTTATCTTTCAGTGTCCTATCTTTTTGCCTTTTCCTACTGTTCATGGGGTTCTCAAGGCAAGAATACTGAAGTGGTTTGCCATTCCCTTCTCCAGTGGACCACGTTTTGTCAGAACTCTCCACCATGACCCGCCCATCTTGGGTGGCCTTAGTTTCACTGAGTTAGACTAGGCTGTGGTCCATGTGATCAGTTTGGTTAGTTTTCTGTGATTGTGGTTTTCATTCTGTCTGCCCTCTGATGAATAAGGATAAAAGGCTTTGGAAGCTTCCTAATGGGAGAGACTGACTGAGGGGGAGACTGGGTCTTGTTCTGATGGGAAAGCCATGCTCAGTACATCTTTAATCCCGTTTTCTGTTGATGGGCGGGACTGTTCCCTCCTTGTTGTTTGACCTGAGGCCAACCTATGGTGGAGGTGATGAAGATAATGGTGATGTCCTTCAAAAGGGCCCAGGAAGGCACTGCCTCACTCAGTGCCCCGGCCCTGCAGCAGGCCACCGCTGACCCACGCCTCTGCCAGAGACCCCTGGACACTAACGGGCAAGTCTGGGTCAGTCTCTTGCGGTCACTGCTCCTTTCTCCTGGACCCCGGTGTGCACAGCGTTCTGTTTGTGCCCTGCAAGAGTGTTTCCCCACTCCTGTGTAAGTTCTGGCAGCTCTATGGTGGCGTTAATGGTGACCTCCTCCAAGAGGGCTTATGCCATCCCCACGTCTGCTGCACCCAGCCCCCTGCTCCCGCGGCAGGCCACTGCTGACCTGTACTTCCTCAGGAGACACTTAAACACTCAAAGGCAGGTCTGGCTCAGTCTCTTGCGGCCTCCTGGGGCACACAAGGTTTTGCTTGAGCCCTTGGAGCATCTCTGATGGGTATGGGGTTTGTTTCTAAATGCAGTTTTGCCCCTCCTGCCGTCTTGCTGGAACTTCTCCTTTGCCCTTGGATGTGGGGTATTATCTCTCTTTGGTGGGATCCAACATTGTCCTGTCAACGGTTGTTCAGCAGCAAGTTGTAATTTTGGAATTTTCGCAGGAGAAGATGAGCACACATCCTTCTACTCTGCCATCTTGTAGATATACTGTAGTGAAAGAATGGAGCCCTAACCACTGGACTGTCAGGGAAGTTCCACCCTGCCTTTTTTTTCTAACTAGAAACATAACACTGAAGATAAAATTTAAAAGCCTTAAAGTTACCTATTTACTACAATCCTGACAAAGCCGTTCCTGCATTTTCTGGTTGTTAAGGCACATTTCCACCACCCTGCTCAAAACCACCCAGATTCTAATATTACCAATAAAACGCCAAATGGGATTAACAAATAGATGTCCTGTCAGCTATCCTGTGACTAGTACTCTGCTGAGCACAAAGACTGTGCTACTCATAACATATAGCAGAACTACGGGAA